GCTATAACTGGTTTCATCTTTTCGTTTGTTTATGCTCTTTCTTTGGATATACGACATGATTATATTACAAAAATAAAATATTTTTCCTAGAAAGCCATGACCGCATGCATGGATGGACATGACCTTTATTTTTGAATTTTGAAAAAAAAACTTTGATTTTTATTAAAAAATCATATATTATTTTAATATAAGGGTGGCCAAAGGTGTGTCAAATTTCAAAGTGGAGAATCAATAGGTTCACAAGATAAAAAAATGTTGACCTACAACAGGTACACTAAAAACGCCATTTTTAGAATCCTTTACATTAATTTTTTCCTTGAAAAAAGTCTCAAAATCGTATCATGATTTGTTTACTTGGTTGAATTGTTTAATAAGAGAATGTTAAACTTTTTTTTTCTTAATATTTTTTTGTATCATTATACTTGTTGGAATTATGGCTCTATGGAAAAATGGCGTTTTACTCCTCTCTTCTTTGTAGTCCACTAAAGGTTGGGGGGAAAACAGCATTATTCCAACATTGACTTGACATTACTCCAAAAAATACAAATGAAACTTGTCAGAGATTATTCGGCAACTTCCTCTAGTACTGGTAAAAAGTACGAAAAAAATCCCTCGTCGGGTTTTGATAGGGGAAGAACAGAAAACTAATATTTTTTTTTAGTTTTTCGAAAATTTCTATCAAACTGTGAAGTTTTTCGCAAAGATTGTTCAGTACAATATTAAAGTACTTTAAAATCTCTATAAAAAATGAACTTATACATTTGATAAAATCAATGGTTACGGTGATATTTATGAGATTGTATTTCTTGCATTTCCACTTAAACCAAAAAATTTCTACTACCACAAAATTGATCTTGTTCATAAAATACGATACTTTTTTGAAGTTTAATTAGTTTTTTTAACATTTCAATTTATTACTCAAAGTTTCTTTCTTTTCACGATTCTTAAAAGTCATTTACAACAGAATTATATTCGATATCAATCAATGGGAAATTTCGTAATAGTGATATGAAGCTTAGATTAAATTAATTTCATATAATTGATAATATGTCATAGAAGACATTAAAACTTAATATATAAACTTAAATTAAAATTAATATAAACTTAAAGCCCATTAAAAAAGGAAGTTTTTCTGAAAGTGTGGTATCTTCAGTTTAGTTGGGGAGTTACAAAATAAATCGCGAAGTATCCTTGATTTTATGAAACCCCGAACTTACTGTAGAGTTGAACTGCATAATAGTCCCCTTTAAATTGTTTTAAAAAGACAAGATTTACTTGAATTTAATCTAGTTTACTATGAAATAATTGGTTGTTACCTAAAATAAACATTCCCTAGTGTTACTGGTCTATTAGTACTTCTGGTTAAAATCTTTAACTGATTTTTCAATTTAACATCATCTTTCATTTTTATTTTGTGATGCGCGGTATCGAAAATCAGTCCCAAAACAAGCGGAGAAGAAAAATATGTTGTTTCACATTTAGTAAACTTCTCATGAGACTATTGCCTAGCAGACACCCTTTTTATAGTTATCGCCTCAATTCTAAATGAATAAATTTAAATATAGATTATTAAGAAGGAGGAGGGACCCCACAGATACTTGTATCTTATTTATTCTTAGAATTATTTTCTTTAATGTATTGAGCATTATTCTAATAGTTTATTTTTTTGTTTTAGGTAAGAATTTTTTATTTCTACTTGGACAATTTTCGACGAAACCTGGAAGTAAGCTAATATTTTTATTACTTTTTATATATTTAATTCAATTTATTATGAAATAATTGGATGGTTAGAGATGGGAAGACCTATATTATAAATAGCCACAAAATTGAATGGTTTTCATTATTCCATTTAAAAGTATGGCCTCGTAATATTCTTGCATAAAATAAAATAAATTAATAAGTGAAATTGAGTAGTGAGATATGTAATATTTTTTTCTTTCACATTTCTTTATTGATAACATTTTGTCACAATTAAGGACATAGTAATAGAGTAACTCATTCTCACTCTACAATAAATAAAAATAAATTAAACAACAAAATAATACTAAAAATAAATCTATATAAACAAAACTAAACTAATCTCATAAAAATAACAATTTAAATACAGGCATACTAATAATATTTAACTATTGTAATAATATATTATAAATATAATAATATAATGTTTTCAGTATTTCTGTTGGTATATATTGTAAATTTGGCCAAGTGATTTCTTGCATAGTTCGTAGATATTGGGTATTGTAAATATTGTTGTAAACATACATGACATTTTAATAACATTAATTTACATATTGTTGATTTACTGCAAAAAGTCACTAAGTATATTTTTGATGTTTGATGTTTATATTTTTTGCGTACTACAATGACACAAATCCTGTTATACATCAATTATAAAGGCTGTTCAAAAATTAACGAAACATTTAAATTAAATAAAAACACAGTTATCTTTCTTTAAATTGTTATCTTTTTATTGAATCATAAAGTACATATTATACCGTTATATATGAAATATCACATCGGGCAGATGGCCTCCACGGCTTTGCTGACACATATGCACTCTTTTGTTGAAATTTTCTTTAACCATTTTGCATAAATGTGGCTGACTTTTGTTTATGCAGCGTGGAATTTCCTCCTTCAATGCACGCGTGCTTGTGAGCTTGTTTTTATAGATCTTTGACTTCAAATGATCTCATAAAAAGAAATCCAATAGTGTTAAATCACACGATCTAGGAAGCCATTTTTTATCACGGAAACGTCTCATGGAGTAATTAAATTGTTTCACGGGCTGGCACCATCTTGTTGAAACTACATGTCATACACTTCAATATATTCCAATTTAGATAGAAAGAACTGTATCATCGTGTCACAATATTGAGCACCATTAAAATTCGAAAAAGTATGGTCCAGTGATGCCTCCAAACCCAAATCCACATGAAACAGTGACACATTGAGGATGCATTTTGTTTTTTGACGATCTCTGTGCCCCAAATGCGTCAATTTAGGCGTTTAACAAAGCCGTCGAGGTAAAAATGAGCTACATTACTAAAGATTATTTTTGACAAATCGGCATCCATTTGTTAATGTTTAATTATTATTATACATGGATTATAATCCATTCAACGAGCTCTCTTCACTATGCATGGTAATTGGGTTTCAGTTCTTGTATCAATTAAACATTTAAGGATGGAGGCGCAGATCTTCTTCTTCAGTATTGAAGGTGAATTCCAGTACGCCTTAGCGAGCTTATTGGAATTAGCAATTTTTGTCCACAACGCCGAATTTATTTTCCTGGACTTCCATTAATACTATCACGCACCGATTCGATATTGACGCTTGAACGGCTCGTTTTTGGTCGACCGTTGTGTTTAACATCTTCAATTGATCCAGTCTACTTGAATTTCTCAATCACTCTCTTCGTAGTTGATGAAGTTAAAAATCACTATTCCGACCATATTTTGGATGAAATTTTCGAACTGTGGTCGCAAGACTTTCATTAGTTTAAAAATATTTTTCAACCATAAAAACACGCTGTTCGCTCGTATAACGCTTCATTTTTACTAACTATAAACTATCAGCTGTTAAATTGACAGACTAAAAGAAGAAAGAACTGTGATTTATATTTAATTTAAATCTTCCGTTAATTTTGGAACGTCCTTTAGTTACAAATAGTGCACACTTTTCTGATTTCACTAAAGGATAACTAATCAAAGTTCTTAGTGATTTCAGGTTTTAAAATGTAACTTAAGGACTTTCTCCTTGTCAATGATATATATATATATATATATATATATATATATATATATATATATATATAAATTAAGTATGTGTATGTATGAAGATTATATATTCTCGGTTCATGTAATGAATTAATATGAATTATATTTTTTAGATATAATTATATTTATTTAAAAAAAATCAACCTCAATAGGTTAATTAATTTTGGTTCTGTCTTAGTTCTAACTAATTAAATTTCACTTATACCAACATTTGTATTGAAATAGTTTGCTAGAAAGGCGAGAATTTTCTTTTATAAATTTGAGTCTTTATTTATTTTAATATTCGAGCTTCGAAACCCCAAAAGAACTGTGGGAACTTCCTTTATAAGAGGATTTAAGAGACAAAGAAAAAAATGTAGGACTCCTTTGTACTCTCATGGATGTTGAAATCTTCATTTTTATTAGAGTTTGTTGACTAATATGGTCAGGATAAATTAAGATAATTCTGTGGGCATTCCTCGTTAAACAATTTTACAGAAAAAAGAGGAATTGATATAAAACGTTTTAGGGTTTCAACACCTTAATATTTTGTGAATCATAAACTCTCTCAAAGACCGTAAACTTAATCAACTTTACAACCTTTTTAAAATTATATAATAAACACTCATTAATTGTTTTCAAACTTATTAAATTGATTTTTTTCGCATTTTTTGAGGCCTAACGAGGCAGAACATTAAGACAGTGTGTAGTGTTCCATTGACACAGTGTGTGAGTGGGAAAGCATAGGATAGTGGATGCCGAAACGCATTGTCCTCGCGTTGGGAAACGCAAGCTAATTATATTGAGCAAGGTCCTCGACAGTTGGAGGTCAGGCACTGCCACTGCTCTCTTCCCTGTCGCGCTTCCATCACCGCACGGTGGAGCGAGCAGAAAGACTGTCTTGGACTGTCAGCTGTCTTGGACAACGGCTTTAAATTGCTCGGAAAATTAATCGGAATGTTAAATAGTTTGATTAACCTTGTTTTTCTGAGAGCAAATTCAAATTATTCAAATATGTATGGTTATAATGAACGAGTATTTCGTTAAATGATAAGCAGAAAGATAATGCGTCTTTGACCCCATTTCTTAAGGTTTTAAACTAGACCCATGATTCCATGACTGCATTTTCCCCTTTTGTTTTCTATGTATACTATTTAAGGGCGAATTGAAAGTAGGATAAGATTATTTTTTCTGGGACTGTAAACAAGTTTAAACGGCAAATATTGGACTCAGATAAATTTGCCGATGCTGGCAGTTTTTGATCAATGGCTGTACAACTTCAACTACGTTTCTGATGACAAAAGTTCTTTTCTCTCCCAAGGCTTTGTAGTAAAAGTGAAAATGTCAGCGAAAAAAAAATCTCTTTTCTGCTACTCACAACCTTCTGCTGGCTACCTAAACAAGAACAATACCGATCTGGTTACGCTGAGCGGTGGGATCATCACGTCTGGTTACGGGAATCACGTAGGCCTCCTCCGGGGAAGGGAAATATGTGAGCGGACTTTCGACTTTCTGCGATAAGTGGATCACAGGATGAACGCAACAGCTTTCGGTTCTCACTTCGAGATGTTTTGTTTTTGTTTTCACTCTTCATTGCGAATTAAAATCTTCGAACCTAATCCATCTGCTCTCCCCTATAAAAAAATGAGCAAATCCGTGATCTGGTTTCTGTTTCGAGGTCAATAATCCATCGTACTATTATTTATGGTTTCTAACGGTTTTGTTCAAGACAGTACTTGAGCTGGTTCATTCAACTCCGATATTACCATAAATATTCAGTCCCGAGTTGCCTTTTTAAGTTTTTAAATATAAATTAATATTTAAAACATCTTTAGGATTAATCGTATTTATTTTATCTTAGTAAATTTTATTTTATAAACCTTTATCTCATTAATTACAGTTCTTTAATTGAATTCAGCTCAATAAGTAATTCGCTTTTTGAATTCAGTCTTTTTCTTTCTTTTTTTTAAAATAGTCTTGCATGATGTGTTTATCTAAATAGATGTGCCCATTTCTCTATGTTGATGGCACACAAACTTTCTCTCTCCAATATATTTTATTGTTTTAATTTTCTTACATACAGTGCAAATGAAAGTAGAATTTAAAAAATTGTGTAGATCAGATGCAATTACACGCTGCTATATGAGCTGATCCTTGTTTTCTTCTTGACCCATGGTTTGAAACTTTTCATTCCGAAAATTCATAACCCTATCGAAAATTTTGGTTGCACAACTTGTGCCATGAAATTTCTTTTTCTTGGCACCTCTGTCTTCAAAATATACTTGCTAATGCTAGAACTGTAGTTGTTTGACTTGTTGACCTGTTTCTCAGTTAATGTGTAAACATTAAGTTCTACAACATCCACCATATTAAGATGAATCTTCTCCAACCGTTTTTATTCATAGTTCTTGACACATTTTTCACAAACAAAATATATCAGAAACGAGGTAAAGATAGGAACACGAGGTTTCATTGTCTGCTGGGAGAATCGATTCCAGTTTGACCAACTTATCAAATTGAGATTATATTAATGTATTCATTGTTTGCTTGATTGACTGTTTATATATTTGTATTGTAAACTTTAGGAATCAATATTCACTGTGCGCTTGTATGAGCATTTCCTACGGTACTTGTCAAAGCCAGCACATACGTTTTCACGAGACTTATATAGCCTGAAGGACAACTTGAGCATTGGTGCGGCGTACTCCTTGCGGCATCTAGAAAGTCGTGGGGAGGAGAGGAAGCCTGTGCCTAATAGGTTCGTTTCCTTTCTCCGGCAGGTGATGGCCTAGTCTTCACGTCTCTTGGGTCATTGGTTCAAGGCTCTCTGTTTCTGTCCTATCTTATCTTAGGCTTTTACATTTATTGTAGAAATATTAAGTAAGTTAATTAAATATTTTGGCCGGAAATAATAGTCTTCCTCCTTCTTCTGAACATCAGAGTGCTGATCCATTTATAGAAGAACCGACTAAAGAGGAAGTCAAAAAAGCCACTGGCAAATTAAAATCTTGTGAGTCTAGTGGACTAATTAAGCCTTTCAGTTGACAGAATGACTAACTCCAGTTTTAACATTTTTGAGTAAAGTCATTTTAGTAATATTTTTAGTTTGACAATTTATAATACCTGTACAGACAGTAAGTTGATTCCAGAGCAGGTGATTAAAATATTAAAATATAATACCTGTGAATATAAAATTTATACCTGTGAATAAAGGTATAAATTTTCCCACTAGAAGTATCACTAAAATTAATAATTAAAGATGTTGAAATTGGAGTTAGTCATTCTGTCATCTGAAAGGCTCAATTAAGGCATGCAGGGTAGCTAGATTTTCCAGAACAGATCTTTTGTTTAAAAAGGTCTGGATATAATTTATGCTTATTTCGATTCTCAAATAGGAACCAAGAACGGATTGTAATAACTATTGAATAATCTCATTCCCTTTTGTATATTATAAAATATTCGCGTTTGCAGAGTCGAAGACTTTCGAATTTTATTTTTTTTTAAAACTTTTATTGAGTATTAATACAGTCTGCCACACTGAAGGGCATTGGTACTAGGGCTATAGTATTCATTCACACAATATGTACATAAGAAAGGAAAAAAAAAAAAAAATATATATATATATATATATATATATATATATATAAATAAAAAGATAAAGTAATATACAAGATGATTTTTTTTATTTTTTTATTTCTAGGACCGTTTTTTTATTACTAGGACTGAATCTAGCATTTGAAAAAAAATAAAGTACTGCTGGCAAATATATAAAATACCATTAATTTAAATAATTTATTTGATATCTGTTTATATTCATTTGTTGAGATTATTAGTTGGACGCATATAGAAGATATAAGAATGAAAATATTACAGTCCAAATTATGACATTTATAGCATTTAACTTGCGTAAATCTGAGAATTATCCATTTATTATGATTGTTATTTTTTTTTATTCGTCTTTATATTTTAACCATACTCTAAATAAATAATTAAGGAAGAAATGTCCAACAAAATATCCTATATGATATAACCAGAGCTGTTTAGTATATTTCAAAAATACTTTATTGGAATCTACCACTGCTACAGGTTTTTTATTATTATTACCTCTGTTCTGCATTTCTACAAGGTTACTGCTTGATGTAATTCTTAAAATTCTTTTGCGTTCTTCGGGCTTTTTTAAAAACAAGATTCTTTCGTAAATATATTTTCGAACAAAATATTTCTATCTTTTTCTTTTCCTCACTCTTAATTGATACCTCTTTCAGCGTTCCGGCGAAATGTTATTTTTACGAATAGTAGTCTATCAAATAATCAGGTCGTATTTCAACTAACACGACAGGAAAACTCTTAAAACAAGTAAATTTCCAAATATGCCGGCTATAAATGGAGGTTACTGAGCAAACAGACCAGACCATTTTGTGTCAACTCGAAGTTCTTTTAGTATTATTGCTTTGACGACAGGATATGAAATATTTGTTCTTCAGGAGTGGGCGTAAATGTTTATTCCTTCACTTCATACCCATTTAAAGAAAACAAATAATCGCAACTATGACATATATGCAGTTCTTGGTAAAGCTTTAAACAAACTCTCATAAAATTTATACTTAGATTTACTTAAAACCGTGGTAGATACCGAAATAGTTAACGGAATTAATTAAAAGCTTTTTTAATGTTCATACCACTTCAACAGTTTGTAAGTGGAAATTTCTTTTAATATATAATGCATAAGAGTATTTTGTACGTTACTTTTACACTGAAATTATTCTAAAAATATATATCCATTTTAATCTCAATATTATAATTATTAATAATAGTTGTTCCGTGCGAATGATTCGGATGATTTGATGCAGATTTTTTTAAAAACTATTTTATTCAGTAACATAATAACATTCTTTCATAAAATAGACAAGGGTTATAATGAGTAAGGATGTCAATGTCAAACCATATTTTCAAAAAATATAAATAAATAAAATAAAGCAAAAATTTAATGAAGATATAGTATATATATTATTTCTAAAAGGTATTTTTTTTTTTTTTTTGCTACGCTATAACTTCGTCAATTCTTCATCAAATCCAATGATTGAACCCTCATTTTAAAAATTTTCTTCACCTTCAGGTGGTATCAATAGTCACTTACCCCCCGAAAATAAGGGGAAAATGTTGTGAAGGAAAATAAACTTTGTTTGCGAATAACTCGAACATTATGCATTTTCTTTTTTGGAGTGTATCCATGATAATTAGAAAGATTACTAAATTACCTACAAAACAAACAAAAAAAGTTGTAAAAATCGGACAATTATTAACAAAGATACAATTCATTTGTTTTGGTATGCTTAATACTTTCTTACTCTCTAAGATACTGCATTTAATATTTCACTACATTTTTTTTCTTAGCTGATATATAGTTTATTATTTCTTAAAGGAATTTTTTTGTTTGTACATTCATTTTGAATGTTCCATTTCCGATCAGTGTTTATTAGAAATAGACGCTAGAAAAGCAATTTGTATAAATATTTTGGTCCATTAAGTTAAATGTAATATTGTAATCGATCCAGGAAAAACAATGAATTCCAACCTTATATAATACATAGGAACTACTTATTTCCATATTGTTTTGCTATTCCTTCTCTAAACAAAATTTTCTGCGAATTATTCACAAAGGCCAACTAGTAATGAAATACATTTTTTTCTTCATTGTCAATGAATCAATCGTTACAGTTCTGCCATACCTATTTATTTTAGTTTTTTATGGATATACATTTGATTATTAGTTTTGCGTTTATCTATTAGACCTAGTCCTGTGATAAATATTGTTATAAGAAAATGTATACAGATTTCAGCACAAAAATTATTTTTTTAAAAACCTGTTTTAGAAAACAATATATATATTTATGGAGACTGAAGCAAAAAAGAAATTACTCAAAAGTAATTTCACCTTTTGCCTTGACACAGGCATTTATTCTCCGTGGCCAGTCATCAATAGAAGCACGCAGCACTTCTTGAGGAAGAAGCAACTGCTCACTCGGACCAGAGATTGTTTGAGGCTTTCTCAGTTAGGGTGTGCTCTGTGGCATGCCATCCTTTCCAGTTCGGACCAAAGCCGGTAATCTAGTGGATTGAGATCAGGCCTTCCTGAGAGCCAATCTGAGGCAGAATCTGACGAAATCTTGAATGTTCTTTTGCAGCCGCTACTGAGTTGACCTGGCCATGTGAGCTGGAGGCGAATCCTGCTGGAAAATCCAATGACTTCCAGCAAACAGTATCATTTAGAGGCTAGACGAGAGGTTCCAAAATATCGTCATGATAATTTTAGCGGCTGTTTTAACTCTTTTAAAAAAAAAAAAAAAATGGAACTTTGTGATGTTATCAAAGCAAACTCCTCACCAAAACATCACTGTGGAAGGGTAATGATCTGTTTTCGCACTCCCCATGAATTCCTAGGCTTCTTTAGAGCTGTGTGCGTACACGAACTTATTGCTGATACCCAAAGGTTTCAAAATCTCTGGCCTACATTTTCCAACTTTGTGTGAGGCGATCACGGTTATTCGGTTTTCTTTATCAGCCCTCTCCATGTTAACTGAGCGAAAGAAAAATACAAACTAATTGTGTTTATTATCCTGACATGTAACGAAAATAACCTGATAGAGGTAGGATTATCTATATAATATCCAAGGATGTAAACAAAGTTCAACTTTTGTAGCAGTATTCATAGCAGAATTAGGTATTATACCAAATGAAGGGTTATCTTTTTGGTCGGACTGCCGTTATTTAAGGTCAACGCATGATCTAGGTAAAAAGGGGTACCCTAACCTGGTTCTTGACCTTATTTAATGCCGATTATCGAACGATTCGATGTGGCTATTATCACGCTCTAACTGCCAGTTTTTTTTTTCTCCCCTCTTCCGTATCCCTCTCTCCTGTATTCTGGGTATATTTGTAATCAGGCGAGAACATTAAATAAATATTGATAAATTATTTTATTTTAGGAAGGATGAATATAGTAGTTGTTTTAAGGTTTTGAATATATATTCTCTTCTTTGTGTATTTATTTTATTATTTCCTTAAAATGGTATCATAATCATCGTTACAAACAGTTAACGATAATTTATGTATTGTTTTATATATTACAGTTTTGATTATAATGTCGTTTTTAGCTTTTTATTGCTAGTAATATTTTCAATATGTTTTGTAATTATTTTATCCTATTTTCAAATAACCTTTTTTGGCTAAAATTATTACTTAAAAATACTTGCGGTGTTACTAAACTCTATTATGGATTAAGTGTAATTCTATTTATATTTGTTTTCATTCTCTCCTCTCCTACACTCTCTCTATTGCTAATTACCTAACGTATATTATTTAATTTTCTATTATATTCTACTAAAAATGCTGTGAATGAATATGTGTATAATGTAATTTATGTATTTATTTATTTATTCTCTTTATTCTGATAAATTTTCTCTTAATTTCTCTGAGTTTTGTCGAACTCAAATCTTATTTATAATTTCATTTATATTTAAGGGATAAAGTAAGTTGGTTTGTTCAGTCTTCTCTGGGAGTGGTCTGAATCGTTGTGGCTTATGGAACATATTGATGAACCTATATCAAGACTATATATTTTTCTTGTCTTAATTTACCATATAGATTAAATATTTCTTTTATCACTGAGCGCTGGCTCTTTGGTTTTTCTTTTTCTTTTTTGACAGTTATAGTTACAATCAAGTGATTTTGAACGCAGGCTGTGGGAATAGGCCATAGAGGTTATGGGGGTGGCTTTCAACTTTGAAAGTCGTCGGGCAAGTTTTTGAATCCAATTTAGGTTAATGTTTAAGTCTGAAACAATTCGATGGATTTTATAAATCAAATTTGTGGTTTGATTTCAAGCTGTTGGTCTGAGCGATACCTGTAGTGTTTATATTTGTTGTTCTGTCATATTGTTGGATTTTGGTTAACGAATTACTGACTATACGATTTTTTGTAATAATTCAATTGCAGGAGTGTCCGGAAGAGGTTCGTTCCACCATAAAAAGTTTTGAGTGGAACATTTGTAGGGAGTTATGAATTTTATAAGGAAACTGTGTTTTTTGGGGGTTTTTATTTAAGAGAACGTTCAGAACGAAAGAACGAAATAAAAAAATAAATTTTGCCTTTTATTATTTCACATTTATTTGCACCGTTTTTAAGGAAAATAGAGTACTAGAGTTAACGGTTCAATTTTATATTGCATGAAATAACAATCGTAGTATTGGACATTTTTTCTATAAACGGAGTTTCATTTTAGGTGTGTCCTGAACTAGGCGCGTATTTATTTATACTAATTTTTTTTTAATGTTCGTTAATGCTATTACATATATTTATTATTAATGAAATAAAATGAGAATGTCTAATAATTTTCCGATCCTATTGCTATGCTCTCCACAATTTCCTAAGTTTCTATCTAGTGTTTACCTGAACAGGAATGTTCAGAACTGCACTTTTTCTTATAGCTTCTCACAGTTAGTGGTTCATCATAGTTGATCCAGTTTATTCATGGTGGCTTATCTTATCTCTTCGGTTCTTACTTTCATATCGTTTTCTAAGCTGACTTTCTCTGCTCAAACCTTGTGGGAACTGCTAGCGTTGTCCCTGTGAAAAATGGCGATTTTATTTCTTTTTCTGCTTCAATAAGGTCTCCAGTAGTCTATAATACCTTATTAAGGAATCTGAATATTAGCTCCGGTATTAAGTTGGAATATATTGGCCTCTGATTGTAACCCCCTTACGACTAGCATCATAAAGGTAGAGACTTTTTCCATGGAAACTTACTGTTCATGAAATGCAAATAACTGTATAATATTGAAGTACTTATCACAAGATCGATCTGATCTGCAATTTTTGTCAAGTAATATCTTTTATGTAATTTATAAAATTAATCCATGTTAGTTGAACGACTCCCTTTTCGGAATTGTTTTGTACAAATTTATTTTGTATATATACCCTGCTTTATTTCGACCCCTTGAGAGTCTCCCTCTCTAAATGTGGGCAGTCTCTACTGACTTACTGGTCTCAATTAATAATACCAAGTCCTATCAGTAAAATTTCATGAATAATTGATGTGGTTGCTATTTTGTCCATGTTACTTGTGATAGATAAATACAATCTGAGTTTATATTTAAGTGGATATAGATATAAAAACCTTAGTGTACAAAAATGTTTACCAGTAAATTTTCTTTCTTTCGTGCCAACTGTGGCTGACATTGATGGATGCCTATTTTATGCAGCGAGATGGATCATCCAGCCTTGCTTTTTATGTCAGAACGTGAAACTAATAAGTCAAAGCATAAATCATTAACAATTTTGTTAATAAATTACACCCATAAACTTAATATTTGAGTGGAAACGAGATCAGTTTTTAAAAACATCAAGCTGGTGTTACGAACAGTCCACCCAAGGCAACTATCACGTATTCTCCGATATTTCAAAGAAAACATAAATTAGCTTAGGAATATATTTAAAAATAAATTTACTTTCGAATTTACCGCTGAATTTACTTAATATATCCGCTATTCGTAGTTATATCAGTACTTAAAATGTTTCCTACTTTTGTGTTATTATAATCACCTTAGCTAGATTAATTTTTTTCTTCTTTTCACCATAATGTTTCAGGTGTAACAGATTTGCTTAGCCAATTTATTTGGTTTAAATTTATTTTTAATATTCATATAATTTATTTGAACACGATTTTCTATATTGCTGGAGAACGCTGGTGTACATGATTGGCGTGCGTTTAGAACACGTTCGTTCTTTTAATATCATGGAACAAGTTTTAGTTTTTGGTAGCCTCCTGTTAGTTTACTTATTTTATTATATTGTTCACGTATGGATCGCTGAATGTTAACTAGGACGAATAAATCTTTTGAGAAATTAACGAAAAAATAGTTTTAAAAATTTATTTTTTGTTATATGTCTACTCTTTTATACAATAACTATTAGAACGCATTAATGAAGTTTAGTTATCCCAAATAGTTTTAGATCTTAACATCCATCGATTCATATATAGACGTTACAACATACATCCTAATTTCGTAAAAACATTCTTAATTATAAAGTTGATTTATTACAAGCTATTGTGAATACGACGAAAAGAACTGTGAAACTATAACTCATCATAGCTTGTAGATTATCATAACAAAATTAGCTGAGGCAGGCTGTTAAGTTACTCCCTAATCTGGCTTGCAAAACTGTTCCCTTTTCACAAAAGAATTCAATATTCCGCTCCTTGCTCCCGGTAAACAACTCTTCTTGATTGAATCTCGTCAAGACTCTCAAGCAAATGCTATGATATTGAAAATAGTTTTGGAACGCTAAAACGGATTGAATGCGATTGGAGTACTGACCTCATTGCATCCGATATAACAGAACCGGTTTAATTGATTTAAATAAAAAGAGCTCTTACTCTTAAAGTTAATGTAAAATTCCTTCAGTGCCTCATAAGACTCTGTACAACCACATTTTACCAACTATATGTGCTGTTCAAATAAGGATTAGATTAACCAAGGATAGATAATTGAAATAAAATGTCCTATAGCATAAAATAAAATAATAAATCTTTGCTTAAGACATCGCTTAATGCATTCATTGTGTCATGAAATCTTAGCTTACTCAGAGCCATTGCTCAATGGCATGCCAAATTAATTGACATTTGATTATGAATAACTATTAAAAGCTATTCTACAGAATGTAATTTTAAAAGTTTTCGTTATTTAATGTTTATATATTATATATTGAATAAATATAAATCTGTAGTCAGTAAATAAATCTAAAAAACAATCATGGTGTCTTTCGGGATCGTCATATACTCATCTATGTTTTTCCTTTCAAGAAAGTTATTAGGAACATTATATAGTGGTTATATGTTTCTTAATAATATATTATTATATGTACAACTCCTAAAGGTTTAGTTCCACCATAGTTACGAAACTTTTAAAATCACCTTTCTTACTTTCGCTTATTACTTTAATTATAATAATGTAATTTTTAACGTTTGATGAAAAAATGAAAAAAAGAACAAAGAAATCGGCTGCAAATCGCCACGTTTCTCAACAAAAATATTTTTGTTTTAAAAATACAGAACAAAGGTCTTGTTTATAGATTATGTCATGAAAACTATTTTTTTATAATTTTTATGGTCTGGTTCCTTCTGTGTGTTCTGATCAACGAACAGGTTTTAGAAGTGCACTATCACTCCTTTCCTATAGTGTAAATAGGTATGCCTGCATCTAAGATGTTTATTTTCAT